CTAAAACTCCTACAGGATTATGGAGAAAAACCCAACAGTGCCCGTCCTAGACCATTAGAGGGCAGTCACAAGTTAAAACAGACTGCGTCCTAAGCGCAGTGGATAAACTACAATGAGAATCGTCATTTTTTTTTGGCATGGGAAGCAGACAAACATGATTAAAATCATGCTGACCTTGGGATGACCGTCTTAAGCTTTCTTTGGCAAGCACTGGCTAAAAAATCTTTTTGAAGTAGGGCATTCTGGTCCCCATCCCACAAGAACAAGAAATGGATGATGCCTGAGGGAACTGCCCCAGCAACAGCTCCCAACTTTTTCAGAGCAGCAGCCCATAATCACCTCATTTTCCTACTCCAAGTGTTGTCAGAGAGATTCTTCCGCCTTTGGCATCTAGGGAGGTAAGACAGATGGAAGGCTGGAAGGACGACCAGCTGCTAATGCTGTTCCTCGGGGTCCTAAGCCCTCCAAACAAAAAGAAACAAGAGTCCAGTACTACTCAGCGGAAACAAAAGTTCCATGAAATTTGGCAAGCCTCCCTGTTCCCAAATGATTCCCAGATGATGGTAAATTTGGAAAATGGTCACTGTTGAAATCAAGACACGTGGGCCTGGTTGCAAAGCCGGATTCCACCTCTCTCTTCACGACATGTGAAAGTGAAAAATACAGAGTTGGGGGCAATAGTGTTCACCCCTTGCTATTAATTCCAGTTAAAGAATCTTATCCAGACAGGTAGGGCTATACCGTAGTTCTTTGGCCTACAGACACTGGAAGAGGACCCCATTTCAAATCCCAGCTCTGTCACTCACTGGTCAGGTGAATCTGTACAACTTACTCAACTTTTCTGTGGCTCACTTCACTGTGGCTCACAATTAAGTTTCCTCATCTGTAAAATGAAAGTAATGATAATGTGATTTCTTACCTATTTCCTAAGTTGTTACATGAAGGGTTTACATAGTCCTGACACATTATGGCATCTGGTCCCATCACTTCATGGCAAATAGACGGGGAAACAATGGAAACAGTGACAGAGTATATCTTTTGGGGCCGCAAAATCACTGCAGATGGTGACTGCAGCCATGAAATTAAAAGATGCTTGCTCATTGGAAGAAAAGTTATGACCAACCTAGACAGCATATTAAAAAGCAGAGACATTACTTTGCCAACAAAGGTCTGTCTAGTCAAGGCTATCGTTTTTTCAGTAGTCATGTATAGATGTGAGAGTTGGACTATAAAGAAAGCTGAGCGCCGAAGAATTGATGCTTTTGAATTGTGGTATTGGAGAAGACTCTTGGACTGCAAGGAGATCTAACCAGTCCATCCTAAAGGAGATCAGTCCTGAGTGTTCGTTGGAAGGACTGATGCTGAAGTTGAAACTCCAATACTTTGGCCACCTGATGCGAAGAACTGACTCATTGGAAAAGACCCTGATGGTGGGAAAGATTGAAGGCTGGAGGAAAAGATGATGACAGAGGATGAGATGGTTGGATGGCATCATCACCTCATTGGACATGAGTGTGAGTAAACTCTGGGAGTTGGTGATGGACAGGGAGGCCTGGCATGCTGCAGTCCATGGGGTCACAAAGAGTCAGACATGACTGAGCGACTGAACTGAACTGACGCATTATTAGTATTCAACAAGTTATTATCTAGTGCTAATGGTGATGGGAATAAAGATCTTAAAATACAGAATTTTTCTACCTTCATTTCATCCAGTCCAACATCTTAAGACTTTCCTATGAGGAAATTCTCTCTTAAAAACCCTCAAAAATCTCATTAGATAATCAGTCCTTCAAATCAACCCAGGATTAACACACCAGAAAAACCCCTATTTCACACAGCTAAAAGTTACATCTAAAATCTGGCCCTGGTTTTATTAGCTGAACTGCATTCCTTTTTTCACCTAAGCTACTGGATATATAAGTTCTTCCCCAAAGGCAAATTTACCAGGGATTAAAATAAAGGTTTAGAAACACAATGTCTACACTTTTATAAGTTGTTCCATTGATAGTTGAAATGCCAAGTTATTTTACATAATTGATACAGGCCAGGACAAACCTACAGTAAGATTAATTAGTGTGGCTTATTTTCCAATGATGGTCACAACAATATTTCTTATTACATGTGATACTTCTCCCATCAAGAGGTGGAGTTTGTGTTCCCTCCCATTGAATCTGAGAGGGCTTTCAAATAATGCCATGTAACTTCCAAGGTTAAGTCATGTAAGACACTGTGGCTCCCTCCTAGTTTTCTTTGGGATGCTCATTCACAGAACCCAGCCACCATGCTGTGAGGAAGACCAAGTAGCATTTAGAGAATCCATGTATGCATTTCCATCCCACAGCCCCATCTGGGGTCCCAGGTAACAACTCCCATCAGTTGTCAGGCATGTCACCAAGCAACCCTTCCAATGATGCCATCTCCAGAAACTGAATCATTTCCAGTCATTGAGTCTTTCTAGCTGAGCTCCCAGATATCATGGAGCAAAATGAACCTTCTCATTGTGTAATTTCTGACCCCCTAAATCTATAAGCACAAGAAAATGGTTGTCAGTTTATGCCATTAAGTTGGGAAGTCACTTATTACATAGCAGTAATAACTGGTACAGCTAGCAAGAGTGATTGTCTCACATTTAAGTAGATGAGCATTTAATGTCTGTAAAATACCTCCCACTTTGCTGATATCATAAATTTCACAATGAGATACATATTTTTTTGGTTTAAAGTTTTACCCCCTTTGAAGCATAGAGTGAAGTATAGTAAGAAAAGAAGTTTAATGTCCCAATTCAGGTGCTACCAACTATTAATGGTATGACTTTGGGAAATCTCTTAATATGTGGGACGTATATTGCAACCTTTTCCTCCAGATCCAGTCTCTACCCTTCTCCCTCCCCACCCACACCTTGGTATCTAAGGAGACTGATCTTATGAAATGCATCAGTGAGTTTCCAGTTGGATATGTCCAGTGAGAGGCACCAGCTGGAGATTCAGAAGACAAGAGAATAATGTTTGGATATCATTCCAGTAAAGGGAAAACACCCCTGTTTTTTCTCCCTTGGCAACCAATATCATCTTTAGGGGCTTTCTAAAAGCGACCTCATTAACTTAAACTCAAGTGCAGCTGAAAGGGGCTAACTATGAATAACAATTGACATATTTATAAATCTTTACATTTAGGAAGTTTCAAAGAATGGGAATGAAAGTGAAATATATGTTTCTTACTGTAAATCACAATGTCACAATTCGCCTCTCCCTCTATCGTGTGGCCACAGCCTAGTAGCATCTTTCAGTCAAAGGTCACAGCTCCTCTGAGGCAGTGCTTCTTATACAATGCCCCTCTCTCTCTGCCTCTCTCCTTACCAATCTTCCTAAGATGTCCTCCTTTTCTAGCCCTTTCAGACCTTGGAATAGTAAAAGTACCCCTCGATCAGTAGCTCAGGTGACCTACCTAACACTCTTCCCACGTATTTGCAATTAATTCCTCACATTTCTCAATCATGCTTTCTGTTTCCTCTTGGGATACTGTCTGATAAGGAGATTTGATTCTTCATCATAAAAAAGAGTTTGCACACAACCAGCCTGCCTCATAGATAGAGAAAGATAATCAATGTGACAAATTAGGTCAGGTCCAGTCACAGGCTTCCCTGATAGCTCAGTTGGTAAAGAATCCACTGGCAATGCAGGAGACCCTGGTTCAATTCCTGGGTCAGGAAGATCTGCTGGAGAAGGGATAGATTACCCACTCCCAGTATTCTTGGGTTTCTCTCTTGGCTCAGCTGGTAAAGAATTCACCTGCAATGTGGGAGACCTGGGTTCAATCCCTGGGTTGGGAAGATCCCTTGGAGAAGGGAACAGCTGCCCACTCCAGTATTCTGGCCTGGAGAATTCCATGGAGTGTATAGTCCATGGGGTTCCAAAGAGTTGGACACAGTTATGTCTAGTCACACACACACAAAAATCACACACTGTTTCAAACAAAGAATTTAAGAGAGGGAATTGGTAATACCAAAGCTGAAAGAGCCAAAAGAGGATACAAAGTAACTCAAATACCAGTAATTGCAGAGCTGATGGAAGCAAAATGAAGAGGTGATGTTTCTGGGAACTGGATGCTCAGAGGTGGACCCCTGCAGGGTTAATGCTCAGATTCCTCAAGAGGGCTTCCTGGGGCTAGTGCTCAGATCCTTACAGGCTGCCCCATGGTTGATGCCGAATCTGGCTAAAGCTGTTCTCCCGACAGAGTGATGGAAATAGAAGTGCAAACAGAAAGAAGTTTCCTTAGCCCCTTCTATCTTTTCACTCTTCCAAATTTGCTTCCCCTAGGCAGAATCTAACACAAAGCCAGCTGGTGTGAGCATCTTAAGACTCAAATGTGAAGCTTTCCCAGACCATCGTTGTTAATCAGAGTATAGAAGGTGGAGCTTAGGACTGAAAGACCCCAGGTTAATCATCAGTACATTAAAATGTTATGTTTATAATTATTAGTTACCCATAACTGAGAAAATATAGGTAGATATCTATACTTTCAAAGGAATAAGGTTTCCCAGTCTTTTCCTCAGAGCAGATTTATAGTTCCCTTTCTAAGTTTACCAAGGTTTTAAATGTTCTATCCTCTGCTTTCCTCCAAAACACCTAAATGTACCATAAATTCCAACCAAATCTCCAACACTCCTTTTATAACCAGATAAGCAGCACATAATCTTTGCTCACACCACAAATGCAAATGACAGTCTCAGAAAAGATAGATGCCACCAAGCACTGTCAGTGCTTGGAGCATGATGGTGTCTAAGGGGGGCACCCTTCATTAACGCCAGACAACACCAGCTCACCAGCTGGCATGCTCCTCCCTCAACTCCCTCAAGACATGAATGAGTAATTCCCCAACATGCCACCCCATATATGTTGACAGTTGAAACCCTCAGTCCAGGACCCCAAGAAGTGGGGACCAGTAAAAACCTCATTTCTGTAGATATCAACTCCTGCACTACAACAATCGTGTTTTTTTTTAACTACTTTTATTTAGCAACGTATCATTTTTTGTTTTTATTTTTATAAACACAGTCTTACATGGAACTCCAAATAAAATTGAAATAGATAAATCTGGTGCAGCATTAGTTGAAACAAGGGGTTGCCAGAAACTGTCCTGGAGTAACCTTTGCCCCAGTTTCCTGGGTCTCTGAGGAAGACAGTTTGAGAACCAGTGACTACTCAAGGATGACTGCGATCTTGGCAAAGTTTAGTGACTTCAGACATTCTATAATACAGCTATAAAAGTAGATTACTAGGTATAATTGTTTTCAATATTCAAAGAATCAGAGGCTTTCTTCTCACATTATATAATCCCATACAAAAATTTTCCAGTATCACATACACTCTTACTTTCTCCAACTATCAAAACCCCATTGCACAACACATGTTTTTACATCACAGCTCTCCCAAAGATCTCAAGACTTGACTAAAATGGCCAAAACAAAAAAAGTTGAGTTTTATGTGCTGTATCTGTGACATGGGTCCTCCAGTCTCAGGGAGGTAAAAGGTACTGGTCTGTTCCTGGGTCCTCTGTGGCCAGTGCAGAATCCGGTGAAGAAAGCAATGCTGGATGGCACACGAGTTCATCAGCACTATCTGATGTTGGCATTCTTCTTGAGGTAGTCCACGTAACGAGTCAGGAGCATCTTCTGAAACGCACTGCTGTAGAAGGCCCACGACGGGATCAGGCTCAGAATGCCAGCCTTGAATAGACAAAAACATGAGTGTCTGGGAGAGAAGAGGAGCAAGGAGGATGCAATATAACATCTCAGTTTATATGCATCACCTTTAAAAACATATATCTGATGAATGAGTTTAAGTACCAAACCTTTCAAGTAGTTGTTAAAGTTTCAGTGTCCTATGACACTTTCTTAGCAAATGAGGTTTCCTCAGGAACCAAAGTGGTCACTTGTCAGATCAGTTGTGATATATTTCTAAATTAAGAGAACTCTGTCCATAGTAACACCCTCCCTGTCTTCCTTCTCTTGGTGAGCACCTTTCTCTTGGTCCTTGATCTCCCAGTATCTTCATATTTATTCTACCAAAGTTTTACTAAAATGAGATCCCAAGAAAGAATCAGAAATGCTTTCCATCACCTGACACAATGCTGAGACACAATGGTGTACCTGAATGCATGAAAGAGTTAATGAACAGGAAAATGGCCAAGATGGTGGAGTAGGAAGATGCTGAGCCCCTCTCTTCTCACAGCCACACCAAAATACAGCTATTTGCAGAACAACTATTAATGACAGAGACTTGAAATCTAGCAGAAAAAAATCTCCTACAACTAAAGATAGAAAGAGGGAACCACAAAGAGATGAGTAAAAGTGGTGGAACGTGGTATAGTCAAGGCCCTATCCCCTGGGTAGGAGACCCACAAATGGGAAGATAATTATAAGAGTAGAGGTTTTTCCTAAGGAGTGGGTGTCTGAGCCCCACACTGGGCTCTCTAGCCCAAGGGTCCTGTGTCAGGAAGACGAGGCCACAGAATGTTTAGTTTTGAAGGTCAGCAGGCTTACTTTCAGTAAAGCCAGAGGGGGTTAAGGGAATAGAGACTCCACTTTTAAAGTGCTGTGTGCTTAATCGCTCAATCATGTCCGACTCTTTGTGACCCCATGGACTATAGCCTGCCAGGCTCCTCTATCCATGGGGATTCTCCAGGCAAGAATACTGGAATGGGTTGCCATGCCTTTCTCCAGGGGATCTTCCCAACCCAGGGATTGAACCCAGGTCTCCCACATTGCAGGCGGATTCCTTACCAACTGAGCCACCAGGAAACCCCCACTTTTAAAGGGTGCACACAAATTCTCACACACTCTGGGAACCAGGGCAGAAGCAGTAATTTGAAAAGAGCCTGGGTCAGACCCACCTGTTGATCTTCGAGAGCCTCCCAAAAAGGCAGGGGACAACTAGAGCTCACTCTGGAGACATAGACCCTTGGGCAGCCACTTGGAGAGCTCATTCTACCACAAGGACACTGATGCTGGCAAGCACCATTTTGGAATCCTCCGACTAGCTTGTTAGTATCAGAACGTGGCCCCACTCCCCAGCCTTGTCAGCACCAGCACTGGGACTCCTCAGGCCAAGCAACTAGCCAGAGAGGGACACAGTTCCACCCGCCAGTAGGCTGGCTATCTTAGGACACCTTCCTGAACACCTAGCTTCCCCAGAATCCAGCCCCAACCACCAATGTATTGGCGCTGGCCCCAAGACCCTCAGGGCCCTACGGTCAGCTGTCAGGCCCAAACCTGCCCATTAGCAAGCCAATACCAACTCCAGGACTCCCAGGGCCTGCAGCCAGAGACCCTGGGACTCAGTTCCACTCACTAGTGGGCTGTCACTAGCTCCGGGACACTCTGGGTCCTAGTCTTGAACACCAGCAGGCAAACACCAGTTCCAAGACCCACAGGCCCTTCAGCCAGAGAACCCAAGACCTGGTTCTGCCCACCAATGGGCTGTCACTAGCCTCTGAACCCAGTCTTACCTATCAGCAGATGGACACTAGTTCCAAGAATGCAGCATTCCCACAGCCTAACAGTTTAAGACCCAGTACACCCACCAGTAGGCTAACATCAGCTCTGAGACACCTTGGGACTCACAGCTGCCCTGGAATCAGACTCTGCTTACAGCTTTGGAACACCAGATTCAGCAGCCAGCCATGTGAAGAACCAGCCCCATCCACTAGTAGACCCACACTAGATCCAGGATGCCAAGCCCTGCAACCAGCCACCCTGAAGTCTGACTGCACACACCAGTGAGCCAGCATTAGCCCTAGGACCCCCCTGGAGTTCCCACCTGACTCCTGAGAACCTAGACCCACCCACCAGTAGCCTCTGAAAAAGACAGAACTGGAAGCCAGCCAAGCTTATCGGACCACCCACAGTAATCAGCCCACCAGAACAGAAGACCTTGCACAGTCCACATGGGGGCACTCCTAGAATATATAGCTCTGTTGAGCAGAGGAGCATATACTTCTAGGATATACAGGACATTTCCTGCAAAAGGCCCCTTCTTCAAGATAGGGAAATTTAACCAACCCACCAGATACATAGAAGTGAAAACAGTAAATTAGGTAAAATAAGGCAACAGAGGAATGTGTTCCAAATAAGGGAAACAGATAAAACACCCAAAAAAAAAAAAAAAAAAAAAAAAAAAAAAAAAAAAAAAAAAA